TGCTTGCGCCAGGGTTATTGATCAATATAAATGAGGAATAAGCATTGTGGTATAAAGTGTGAGGACATCAGCAATTAAATCAGCTCATCTCAGTGTAATTTCCAGATGCCCACTCAGCCTGGTGACTCAGTTATGTTACTGCTCTGACTCAGTTTCCTCTCCTGTAAATTGTGATAGAAATAGGATCATATTCATAGAGTTACTTGATGATTATTTGAACAGTACCTCTTGGCACACAAGTATTCATTAGATCTCAGTCTTTTTGACTTAAGAACTTGATGTTTCTATGCTATCATCTATAACATGATGATCACAATTGTAGTCACTTCATAGGGCTGTTCTGAAGAATAAATAATATGATGCCCAAAGATCCTTACAATAAAGCCTAACCACATGACATTCTTGTTATATGTGATCTATTTCTCTTTCACTTTTCCAATATTTGAAAAAAGCTTATTTCCAAGAGAACTCAAGCTCTAAAACTATATTCTTCCTTTTACCCATCCACATCTCTATTGTTATAATATATTAGTTTGACCAGGCATCAGGAATGTAGTCTTACTTAACCACTGCATTCATAAACATGAAAGATATTTGCATTTTAAGAAAGGTTTTTGAGAAATTCAATACATTTAATATATGAACACTAAAGTGTAATTTTTTTTTCTGGAGATGTGTTCCATTTATATCAAGTTGCTATTACTATTCTTTCTCTTACTGATCAAGAACCCCAGTCTTCCCACTTAATGTGTTATTTGGACTTATATAAGCCTGACTCTTAGAATTGAAGAAATTTTGAAAGAATTATCAAGATTTGTCAAGATAGTTTGTTTGGTTTCTAGAGTTGAAGATCTTACATGGTACTAGGGGAAGAAGAGACTGAAATGCCCTTTTCCTTCCAAAGTTAGAGAATTCCACCCGCATTTATGCATCCCTTAATTGAGAATGTAGGAAAGTAAGAGGGAAACTACTTAATACAGTCTGATGTGGCGCAATTCCCAATTTTCTCTCAAAGTATTATTTTACATCTCTAAATAAGTGCATAAAAAGATGCCTGAACTTTCACAATTACTCATAAGAAGTCATGGGAATTATTTGGTAGAGTGAGCTACAGTTAGGGGATGCACCAAAAAACCACTGGATATGGAAATATATATATATAAAAATAAGAAAAATTGTAAATAATAGATACATATATATAAAGGCATGAGAAATTATAATTATCTGAGTGAACATGAAAGACAGTCTTCTATCAATTTCTTTGCAGTATGCATAACTATTCAAAGTAAAGTTTGCAGAAGTGTCTTCCAGCATTTACAGTGGGTTGGAAGGATGAGATAATTATCTATATATATATTTACATATTTCCATTATATAAAATAATAATACAGGTCTGCTAATAAGAAGTGAATTCAGAACAGAAAGAGTCATGGAGAAATCAGGGATATAAACATCCAAGTGACAATTTTCTCTGTCTAACCTTCTGAGAATATACATTAGGTATTGAACATAATGAGCTTGTTTTCTGGATCCCGGAGTTAAACAGTACCCATTTCAGTACTAAATTCAGAGGAAGATGGTGCCCTTTTAAAATTCACTGAGCAGAAAATGTATGCTTTGCAGGCACTCAGTCCCAAGGAGAATGCAGGAAGGACTGAGTTGTGTTTGCCCAAGCTCATGTAACAAATTTACTAACGAAAATTTTGTGTTCTAGTAAAAAAGAGTGTAACGTTGGAGATAACAGACATTAGCCCTAAAAAGTCTTGCTCTGCCCTCCATTTTATAATGCTCTTCCCATAATTATAAGCATTGGTTTTTGTGTGTCTCTTACTAATGAAACATTTAAAACTTTAGCTTGTGGGGGAGCCTGGGTGACTCAGTTAGTTAAGTGTCTAAATTTGGCTCAGGTCATGATCTCATAGTTTGTGAGTTTGAGCTCCATGTGGGGCTCTGTGCTGACAACTCAGAGCCTGGAGCCTGCTTTAGATTCTGTGTCTCTCCTTCTCTCTGCTCTTCCTATGATCATGCTTGTCTCTCTCTGTCTCTCAATGATAAATAAACATTAAAAAAAAATTTTTTTTTAAGCACTTTCTCGGGGCACCTGGGTGGCTCAGTTTGTTAAGCATCTGACTTCGGCTCAAGTAAAGATATTGCGATTGGTGGGTTCAAGCCCCACGTCTGTTTCCATGCTGACGGCTCAGAGCCTGGAGCCTGCTAGACATTCTGTGTCTCCCTCTCTCTACCTCCTCCTATTCTCGCCTTCTCAAAAATAAAAAAGCATTAAAAAAAATTTTTAGTACTTTCTATGTCCTTCTCCAATATTTTGAACTAAGTGAAATTTGTAAACATTTGTTATTTATCCCTTATATAGATTTAGGCTTTTTTCATTTACAACAAATACTCCTATTAAAATACAGACACCTAGTTATAATTGGAGAAGGAATAAATAGATAACATGAATAATTATTTAATATTCAAATCTCTAGTTCAGTGCTATTGTTCAATATTATTCAATATTTTAACGTTCTGACAGGCATTTGGTTTTTTTCCCAGCAAAAACTTAAAATTGTTTACAAATAATAAAAATAGAATGTAGCTAATTAAAAATTATGATAGAAAATTTATAAGATAAATTCAGAAATTGATGTCTTTACGACAGTTACAATAAAATTGAAAATGGAGTCAGTTTTCACTATTAGTGTCAAATATAATTAAATACCTGTCGACAGGATGATGATTTTAGAATATCTTTGGTATAAAAGAAATCACATAACAAGGGTATAAGAAAAAGTATGTAACATCAAGATGTAGCAAAATATTCTAAAAGTAAAATTTAATATCTAAGATGTTTTACATGAGGCATAAGTTGTCAGTGTTTGTGATTCAGATGGGAGCAAATTAACAGCCTGGGTGGTCACATCTCTGACCCCAATGTCTTGTGGAACATAGAATTTGTCAGAGGCATTTGCTTAGGGACAAACTAAATGACACACTGTAAGCTCAATGTCTCTACCTTCTCGAGGTGTGTGATGACATACAGTGTCTTCAAAATAGCCCAACGGTAAGAATTTCCTATTCAAATTTAAGTGACACATTGATGAGAAATCTACTTTTTCCACTATTGCCTCACTCTGAGCTCTCACAGGGCCGGCAGGCTGTGAAAACCACAGACATTACCTGCTTACGAGAGTAACCTGGTTCCGTCTGGAAGATGCGTGATTGTGTGGCCAACAGAAGGTATGTGTCACTCCTGCCCTGTCTCTCTACCAGCCACCCCAGGGAGTGGGAGATACAAATGCTGGTGGGATGCACTCGAGACAGAGCTAACATACAATCACATCACAGAGAACATTGGTATCTGCATTCCAACAATTCAGGGTAACAAACCAGAAGGACTATGCTATATGTTAGAGATCTTACAATATGCAAATTCTTAACTGTGGAGAAGTCATTAAGATCATATGCATATGCACAATTGGGTTTGTTAATCAACATAATTTCGAGTGAGATCACATGAGCATCGTGGCAAAGAACACTTAATTTGGATTTGTCATCAATTGCTGTCAATGATTTATTATGAATTATTTTATATTTGCCCAGCATTAAACATAGATTCTTAAAATGAATCATTATATCTTAAAGGACAAATATAATTTCTCATATATTTACTTTCATAAATGAGTGCAGTTTGATTTTTCATAAAATACATGAGGTACCTTCTGTAAGATGCCAAATTAAACTGAAGTGTAAAAAGACTTTTTATAAAATGGAACAAAACTTGGCCAAGAAAGTTATTCAATCCTGAAAGACACTCCTGTGTAATGAATTATGTTCCATGGTCTAAATGACATAAATCAGTCATGATAAATGGTTACTGTGTTAGAAATAATTAAACTAATATATTATTGAGACCTTGGAAGAGTCAGATTGAGTTTAAGTCCTTTATATGCTTTAATTTTACATATTTTAATTCCTCTTTTAGATTAGTAAACCGGATGATGACATGAAATAACTGTTTAAAGGTGGCACCTTGTACTTTGATGGCCGGAGTAATTCCAGAGTTCCCTGACTGCAAGCTCACTGACTGAAGTCTGATATTACATTGATGTGATTTATTAGCATCACTATACCACTACAGCTACCCTCAATGCCTTTGAAATCATAGATCTTTCTAGACGTTTATAACAACTGTGCTCTTCCATAGATGATCTACACTTTTATTTATCAACTTATGGTTTCATATCTTTGCCATCAAATCAGTTGTCACTTTCTGATGTTCATTAAGTCCTCTCTTAAAAATATGTCTTAATTTTGTTTTCTGTTTTCACTATTGTTTCTGCTTTGGGGAATGTTAGTGTGTCATGTAACATTTTGCAACATATAAAATATTTCTTCTGAAATTTAAAGATGCTCTGACTTCCACAGATGTTCAAAATAAAATATCACTTTGATAGCACTGGGCTACCTTTAGTAAAGCAGTCTAAAATCACAAATAAAAGTCTTTTGCAACAGGAAATTCCTATAACTGCTAAAAATACTGTTCTTCAATCTTAGGGCACTTAAGTTTTAACCAATAATGGATTTTAACATTGTCAAAAAAATTGGTGCAACACTTTTGGTTTCTAATATAGCATTTTAATTTTCATCTGGTTAGTTTGATAGTGTGGAAGTATGTCTGTGGAATCTGACCTTACATTCATGAAGACACTATCATTCATGAATTCCTTTCTTCTTCACCAATTTCTTCCTTTATGTGTTTTCCAACCAATGCTATTGTGCTATTATTGTAAAAACCACTTACTCTCTCATTAAACACTTATTTCAAGTCCTATGGAAGTTAGTACCAGAGTTGACATTGTTCAACTGCAAACGAGTGTGTCCCTCACCCCGCACTCCACCCAGTGTTGCTGTACGAGCAATCTTGTCAGCACATGACATACACTGTTTATCAAGCCCTTCAGTGCGGGTTCAGACAGCACGGTGCCTGACACTACTCAGCTGCACACATGAGTAACCAAGCAGTTACTTATGCAGAACTCCATCACGCTAAGGGCTCCAAAAGACAGCAAGGGAAACCTAAGGACACTAAAAGCTCCATTTCCTCACTTGAGGAGGACATAGCCTATGCAGAATTAAATCTTCAAAGGGCTTCTCAGGATCCTCAAGGGAACGGCAAGGACTATCATTGCAAAGGTAAAACATGTACTACAGACAGGTATGTCTGTTCTAGGATGGGCAGTTGGGGTGCAGGGGTGTAGGGAAAGAGTAGGAAATGATCTCACATATTTTCCCTTTGTGAGGACCAGAGCTGGAGGTAGAATATGGTGTTGCAATGGAATGCATTGGTGTATTCTGAGAGATCACAATGGCCGTGATGGGTTTGAGGTGCAAGTTATCATATGTGATTCTCTGTGCATCGTTTCTGCGTGTTTTCATTTCTCTTCCTACTATTCACCATCATGTCCAGAGAAGTTCGTTGCTGGGATCCTGGGAATCATCTGCCTCATCTTGATGTCCACCTTGGTCACAATAGCTGTTATTCACTGTAAGAAAGTGTTTGAATGACTCAAAGGGAATTTTTCATGTTAATGATACTTGACGTATTGTATAACATTTTAAATTTCAGTTTCTCATTTTAATGCATGTATGCTCTAAATGTGGAATAGTAATTCTGAATTCATCTAAAGCAGAAATAGCAGAATAATTCCAGGGAGTATTAAATATACATTCAGATTTCATAACTCAAAGGCAAGTTATGCAAGAGACTTTATGGAGAAAGGTGAATTAATTCTTGAGATTGCTTAAACCCAGTATTGTTAAGAGATGGTGAGGTTTGGTTCTTTAGTCTTTTGAATTCTTTGCCCTCTCATGTTCATTACTTTATTAAATTTTTCTGGTAAAATAGTACACCCAATTTTAATCTAAGAAACTCAAATTATTACGATTTATTTTATTTAATATTATGTTTTTTTGGGGACTGCTTCTCTGTTCTAGCTACTGAAGGACCAGAGCAGAACAAAACGTCCCTGGAAACAACGCTCCAGAAAGGTACATCACTCGCAAATTCTGATATTAGTTTAGTGTCGATTTTATCTCCATGTTAAACTAGGCAGAGATGATAATAGATTCTTTTGGGAAAAGTGAGTTAGAAAATCACTTAATGAACTTTCAGAAATAATGGTTAAAGAGAGTATTACTTCTTAGGCAACAATAGGAAGAAATACTCATTTAAAGTCGCCCTGCCCGTTGTTAACAATTACCTCATATTTCCTCCTCCTGTAACACGATAACAGATAAATCATTTTATACGTGGTTTTCTTCAGTGACTCTCTGCACATGTAGAGTTGGACATTTCTGTGGATGTTTTATATGTGCACATAAATTAGGGGATGAAAGCCTAACTCTTCTTATAGTGTGTGTGTGTTGTTTTATTTTGACCAGCTTGTGAGCCTATATGAACATGTTATGGACACATGTGTACAAGTATGTAAAGTTTTATTTTTTAGTATTCAAAGCTTTTGGGATAATGTCTCATAATCTCTCTCCAGCGTGTCACTGTTGTCACTGCCTGAGAGAGTGGTTTACGTATTCCAACAGCTGCTATTACTTTAGCCCTGAGAAAAAGTCATGGAATGAGAGTTGGACGTCCTGTGCGTCTAAGAATTCTAGCCTGCTCTACTCTGATGATGAAGAGGACATGGTAAGTTTCCAAATGTTTCCAGATTGTATTAAAAGCTTGTCAGTTAATGGGGCGCCTGGGTGGCTCAGCCAATTAAGCTTCTGACTTGGGCTCAGAGCATGATCTCAAGGTTCATGAATTCAAGTCTCATGTCGGGCTCTGTGTTGGTAGCTCAGAGCTGGAAGCCTGCTTCAGATTCTGGGTCTCCCTCTCTTTCTGCTTCTCCTCTGCTCATCCTCTCTCTTCATCTCTTAAAAAGAAATAAACGTAAAAAAATAATTTAAAAAGCTTGTCATTAATACTATACTTGTAGAGTTCATTTATAGTTTTATATGTATTGGTAGTTTATTTTAAATGCTTTAATATTCCATGGTTTGACTCTATGACACATTGTTTATATTTTTATACCTTTAATGACATTTGATAATTTCCAGATCCTGCTTATCTTAGAAAGCTGTGATTATAAAAATGTTCTTTTGCCTGAAATAAGCTTTACATTTAATTTTAAGCACACCAAGGAAACTAGAATATGATTATGCAATTTGATTAAGAAATAGAATCACACAATTAGAAATTAATCATGACACAGAAGTTTAGAGCCTTTATCAGACCTGCTTATTTTCATTTTATGAAATATCTCTGCTTATTTGGGGGCTTTAGACGAATGGAATCATTCTGTGAGCATTTTTATGTGTGTCTCCCTTGTGTCTCAGATGCTGTTTGTAATCATCCATATTAACACATTTGTCTATAGTTTGTGAATTTTCACTGCTGTCATATAGGAATGTGACATTTTAAAAACCGTCCTCAGAAATTCAGTTCCTTTTCAATGCATGGGTATTATGAATAATGTTTTTATGAAAAGTCTTTCTACATCTTCTTCCATATATCATATTTATAATCATTTATTATCCATAAACACATATGACATAGTGTACTTATGGAATATAGATAATACGGTTTTCATAATGAAATAATAATGTATGAATAGAACATAATTGTATTTATGTATAATTGTGCTACACTTTCCTGTAAGCATTAGCATGAAATTGCAGTCATAGATAGGTATATATTTCAATATATTAAATTATCCCTACAGTTTTCTATTGTATTGTATAAATATACATTGTACCAAATAGTCCTTTGATCCAAACGTCGGGAGTCTCCGTAAAATCAATTGATAAGTCCTGGTGGTTATAAACAGTACCATTTTGGGGCTGTAATTCTTAAAGGTGTGCTCCTTTGTGGGAACAAGAAGTCTTGGGGTCAGTCTCTTCCCATTTCTCCAGGATGATGTCCTCTTTTCATTTTGTCGAAGTCTCTGTCATATTTGAGACGTGAGCACTTTTTGAGCTTAAGATGCAAATACCTGTGACATGCATTTTTATTCTCAGATTGAAGTCGATCAGAATTGTGATGTTACCATGCGCCTATTTAGAGTCTTGTGTGTAACCATGATTATGATGGACCTATTGCAGAAGTGATCTCAAGTTCATGAATATAGTTTCCTATAGTATTTTCCTATATTATTTTACCATTTTCTGTATTTCTTTATTTTTTAACTTTTAATTATGCTTTATGACCCTACTAGAACTTTTTTTTTTGATGTTCTATTTCTGATCTTGTGAGATAAAAATGAAGGTTATATTTCCTACACATTACTTCATTGATGGACCATCACGCATAGTACAATAGGTCTTTATATTTGTACATGTATGCTCAAATGTCCTTTATATAAATAATTTAGATACTATATATCTTTACACAGATAAGTATATACTCATAGATCACAGTCTACACAGTTACCACAACCCACAGCAGCTTGAGTAATATGTAGAGACTTACTTGCCTTTATAGTCCCTCACCATGTCTCATTTGTACTATAAGAGTCCTAAATATTTCTCTACTTACATCAAGAATCACATGGATGAAAAAATTCTTATTTATTTTGAAAAAGAGAGAGAGCAAGCAGGGGAGGTGCAGAGGGAAGGAAACACAGAGCTTCAGAAGTCGGCTCTCCACTGGTCAACACAGAGCCTGATACAGGGCTAAAATCCACAAAGTGTGAGATCATGACCTGAGCCAAAATGAAGAGTTGGACTCTTAACCAACTGAGCCACCCAGCACCCCAAACCTTTTTTTTTTTACTGCATCCCTCTTAATGAATATAAAGTGATAACTCCTCAAAATTTTGATTTGTTTTTTCGTATTCATTAACGATATTGAGCATCTTTTCATAGGAGTTTTTATTATTTATATTCTCTTTGGAAATATGTCTTTAATTTCTTGGATCTTTTTTTCATTGTGTTTTTGGTGTTTGTTGTTGTCGGTACTAACTTGTAGATTAATTTAGTACTAACTTGTACATATATTTTAGATATGAATCCCTGTTTGATATATGATATGCAAGTGTTTTTCTCTGCTCTGTCTTTTCATGGTTGTACATGCCCTTTAGGCTCAGAAAAGTTTTAGGTTGAGATAGCCCATTTATCTACCATGGACTTTTCCTTTGTGGTCCGATTTTGGTGGCTTACCCAAGAAATCATTGCCAAATATAATGATGTTTATTTCCTCCGCCCCCAATTTTTCTTTGAGGAACTGTATAGTCTTACATCTTACATTTATGGGTTTAGTCCATTTTGAGTGAATTTGAGTATATGGTGTAGATGTAAAGATCCAACTTCCTTCTTTTCCATGCGAGTCCTCAGTTTCCCAACATCCTTTGTAAAAGATGCTGTCTTTCCCTAGTGAATGGTCCTGGCACCATGATTAGAATGAAGATACATGGGTTTGTTTCCATGGGGGATTTAGGGCTTCATCTTGCTGATTGTATCCCGTCCAGTGTGAACTTGTACAGGGCAGAGATATGGAGTCTGTGGTACATAAGGTGGCCTAAAGCTGACAGAGGTCAAGATATTTCACCCATCCCTGATTTTCACACAGACGTAAGTCACTTCGTAATCCACTCTGTTCCCTCAGGATTACCTCTTGGTCTGTATTTGCAAGTTTCTTTGGACATTTCATGATGATGCCATGAGTTGTAGATTTGTTTGTGCTCATTCTAGGAGTAGTCTGCTAAGTCTCCGGTGTCTATAAATATTTTTAAATGATATTANAAATCTTCAAAGGGCTTCTCAGGATCCTCAAGGGAACGGCAAGGACTATCATTGCAAAGGTAAAACATGTACTACAGACAGGTATGTCTGTTCTAGGATGGGCAGTTGGGGTGCAGGGGTGTAGGGAAAGAGTAGGAAATGATCTCACATATTTTCCCTTTGTGAGGACCAGAGCTGGAGGTAGAATATGGTGTTGCAATGGAATGCATTGGTGTATTCTGAGAGATCACAATGGCCGTGATGGGTTTGAGGTGCAAGTTATCATATGTGATTCTCTGTGCATCGTTTCTGCGTGTTTTCATTTCTCTTCCTACTATTCACCATCATGTCCAGAGAAGTTCGTTGCTGGGATCCTGGGAATCATCTGCCTCATCTTGATGTCCACCTTGGTCACAATAGCTGTTATTCACTGTAAGAAAGTGTTTGAATGACTCAAAGGGAATTTTTCATGTTAATGATACTTGACGTATTGTATAACATTTTAAATTTCAGTTTCTCATTTTAATGCATGTATGCTCTAAATGTGGAATAGTAATTCTGAATTCATCTAAAGCAGAAATAGCAGAATAATTCCAGGGAGTATTAAATATACATTCAGATTTCATAACTCAAAGGCAAGTTATGCAAGAGACTTTATGGAGAAAGGTGAATTAATTCTTGAGATTGCTTAAACCCAGTATTGTTAAGAGATGGTGAGGTTTGGTTCTTTAGTCTTTTGAATTCTTTGCCCTCTCATGTTCATTACTTTATTAAATTTTTCTGGTAAAATAGTACACCCAATTTTAATCTAAGAAACTCAAATTATTACGATTTATTTTATTTAATATTATGTTTTTTTGGGGACTGCTTCTCTGTTCTAGCTACTGAAGGACCAGAGCAGAACAAAACGTCCCTGGAAACAACGCTCCAGAAAGGTACATCACTCGCAAATTCTGATATTAGTTTAGTGTCGATTTTATCTCCATGTTAAACTAGGCAGAGATGATAATAGATTCTTTTGGGAAAAGTGAGTTAGAAAATCACTTAATGAACTTTCAGAAATAATGGTTAAAGAGAGTATTACTTCTTAGGCAACAATAGGAAGAAATACTCATTTAAAGTCGCCCTGCCCGTTGTTAACAATTACCTCATATTTCCTCCTCCTGTAACACGATAACAGATAAATCATTTTATACGTGGTTTTCTTCAGTGACTCTCTGCACATGTAGAGTTGGACATTTCTGTGGATGTTTTATATGTGCACATAAATTAGGGGATGAAAGCCTAACTCTTCTTATAGTGTGTGTGTGTTGTTTTATTTTGACCAGCTTGTGAGCCTATATGAACATGTTATGGACACATGTGTACAAGTATGTAAAGTTTTATTTTTTAGTATTCAAAGCTTTTGGGATAATGTCTCATAATCTCTCTCCAGCGTGTCACTGTTGTCACTGCCTGAGAGAGTGGTTTACGTATTCCAACAGCTGCTATTACTTTAGCCCTGAGAAAAAGTCATGGAATGAGAGTTGGACGTCCTGTGCGTCTAAGAATTCTAGCCTGCTCTACTCTGATGATGAAGAGGACATGGTAAGTTTCCAAATGTTTCCAGATTGTATTAAAAGCTTGTCAGTTAATGGGGCGCCTGGGTGGCTCAGCCAATTAAGCTTCTGACTTGGGCTCAGAGCATGATCTCAAGGTTCATGAATTCAAGTCTCATGTCGGGCTCTGTGTTGGTAGCTCAGAGCTGGAAGCCTGCTTCAGATTCTGGGTCTCCCTCTCTTTCTGCTTCTCCTCTGCTCATCCTCTCTCTTCATCTCTTAAAAAGAAATAAACGTAAAAAAATAATTTAAAAAGCTTGTCATTAATACTATACTTGTAGAGTTCATTTATAGTTTTATATGTATTGGTAGTTTATTTTAAATGCTTTAATATTCCATGGTTTGACTCTATGACACATTGTTTATATTTTTATACCTTTAATGACATTTGATAATTTCCAGATCCTGCTTATCTTAGAAAGCTGTGATTATAAAAATGTTCTTTTGCCTGAAATAAGCTTTACATTTAATTTTAAGCACACCAAGGAAACTAGAATATGATTATGCAATTTGATTAAGAAATAGAATCACACAATTAGAAATTAATCATGACACAGAAGTTTAGAGCCTTTATCAGACCTGCTTATTTTCATTTTATGAAATATCTCTGCTTATTTGGGGGCTTTAGACGAATGGAATCATTCTGTGAGCATTTTTATGTGTGTCTCCCTTGTGTCTCAGATGCTGTTTGTAATCATCCATATTAACACATTTGTCTATAGTTTGTGAATTTTCACTGCTGTCATATAGGAATGTGACATTTTAAAAACCGTCCTCAGAAATTCAGTTCCTTTTCAATGCATGGGTATTATGAATAATGTTTTTATGAAAAGTCTTTCTACATCTTCTTCCATATATCATATTTATAATCATTTATTATCCATAAACACATATGACATAGTGTACTTATGGAATATAGATAATACGGTTTTCATAATGAAATAATAATGTATGAATAGAACATAATTGTATTTATGTATAATTGTGCTACACTTTCCTGTAAGCATTAGCATGAAATTGCAGTCATAGATAGGTATATATTTCAATATATTAAATTATCCCTACAGTTTTCTATTGTATTGTATAAATATACATTGTACCAAATAGTCCTTTGATCCAAACGTCGGGAGTCTCCGTAAAATCAATTGATAAGTCCTGGTGGTTATAAACAGTACCATTTTGGGGCTGTAATTCTTAAAGGTGTGCTCCTTTGTGGGAACAAGAAGTCTTGGGGTCAGTCTCTTCCCATTTCTCCAGGATGATGTCCTCTTTTCATTTTGTCGAAGTCTCTGTCATATTTGAGACGTGAGCACTTTTTGAGCTTAAGATGCAAATACCTGTGACATGCATTTTTATTCTCAGATTGAAGTCGATCAGAATTGTGATGTTACCATGCGCCTATTTAGAGTCTTGTGTGTAACCATGATTATGATGGACCTATTGCAGAAGTGATCTCAAGTTCATGAATATAGTTTCCTATAGTATTTTCCTATATTATTTTACCATTTTCTGTATTTCTTTATTTTTTAACTTTTAATTATGCTTTATGACCCTACTAGAACTTTTTTTTTTGATGTTCTATTTCTGATCTTGTGAGATAAAAATGAAGGTTATATTTCCTACACATTACTTCATTGATGGACCATCACGCATAGTACAATAGGTCTTTATATTTGTACATGTATGCTCAAATGTCCTTTATATAAATAATTTAGATACTATATATCTTTACACAGATAAGTATATACTCATAGATCACAGTCTACACAGTTACCACAACCCACAGCAGCTTGAGTAATATGTAGAGACTTACTTGCCTTTATAGTCCCTCACCATGTCTCATTTGTACTATAAGAGTCCTAAATATTTCTCTACTTACATCAAGAATCACATGGATGAAAAAATTCTTATTTATTTTGAAAAAGAGAGAGAGCAAGCAGGGGAGGTGCAGAGGGAAGGAAACACAGAGCTTCAGAAGTCGGCTCTCCACTGGTCAACACAGAGCCTGATACAGGGCTAAAATCCACAAAGTGTGAGATCATGACCTGAGCCAAAATGAAGAGTTGGACTCTTAACCAACTGAGCCACCCAGCACCCCAAACCTTTTTTTTTTTACTGCATCCCTCTTAATGAATATAAAGTGATAACTCCTCAAAATTTTGATTTGTTTTTTCGTATTCATTAACGATATTGAGCATCTTTTCATAGGAGTTTTTATTATTTATATTCTCTTTGGAAATATGTCTTTAATTTCTTGGATCTTTTTTTCATTGTGTTTTTGGTGTTTGTTGTTGTCGGTACTAACTTGTAGATTAATTTAGTACTAACTTGTACATATATTTTAGATATGAATCCCTGTTTGATATATGATATGCAAGTGTTTTTCTCTGCTCTGTCTTTTCATGGTTGTACATGCCCTTTAGGCTCAGAAAAGTTTTAGGTTGAGATAGCCCATTTATCTACCATGGACTTTTCCTTTGTGGTCCGATTTTGGTGGCTTACCCAAGAAATCATTGCCAAATATAATGATGTTTATTTCCTCCGCCCCCAATTTTTCTTTGAGGAACTGTATAGTCTTACATCTTACATTTATGGGTTTAGTCCATTTTGAGTGAATTTGAGTATATGGTGTAGATGTAAAGATCCAACTTCCTTCTTTTCCATGCGAGTCCTCAGTTTCCCAACATCCTTTGTAAAAGATGCTGTCTTTCCCTAGTGAATGGTCCTGGCACCATGATTAGAATGAAGATACATGGGTTTGTTTCCATGGGGGATTTAGGGCTTCATCTTGCTGATTGTATCCCGTCCAGTGTGAACTTGTACAGGGCAGAGATACGGAGTCTGTGGTACATAAGGGAGAGTAAAGCTGATGGAGGTGGAAGATATTTCACCCATCCCTGATTTTCACACTGACTTATGTCACTTCGTAATCCACTCTGTTCCCTCAAGAGTACTTCTTGGTCTGTGTTTGCGAGTTTCCTTGGACATTTCATGATGATGCCATGAGATATAGATATGTACATGCTCATTCTAAGAGCAGCCTGCTAAGTCTCCAGCATCTATAAATATTTTTAAATGATACTAGTAAGTTGTTCATTTATTGCGCCTTAAGATTGTTGTTCTGTTTTTTTCTGCCTCTTTTGTTCTTCTCATATTCTACTTAGACCTACACTGGCTTTCCTAATAGTGTTTTGAAAGTCTCTGAATTCTGTAAATTTTTCTCTTTTTTCTCTCTCATCTTCTGGTGTAAATAAAATTTGTTACTCCTTAACTTTCATCAGTTCTTTTCGACCACATCCCAAATTTTCTGTAGAGAAAATTTAATGAAGTTTTCATTTCGGGTATGTATTTATGCACTTAGGTTCTCTGTGGTTTATTCATTTAGTTGGATTCCTCTATTGACATTTCTTGACTTGCTATATTGCTGCCCTCACATGTTCATGTAATTATTTCAATTAAGCTTTCTTTATTGTTTACATATATTTCTAAATACGACTATTAAAGCCTTTTTTTTCTAATATGTGCAGCAACTTATCCCAGTAGAAGTTTCTACTGATCTCTGCTTTCCCTTCATTGGAAGACATTCTCTAATTGTTCTTCATATTTTTTAACCTTTTAAGTAGACACGTTTTAACATGTAACTGACGAAACATGCATTCTATTTCATTTCTCCTAAATTTACATTTTTTTTTTTTTGCTTAAGCTTTTTGGCAGAATCTTCTCCACTAAAATCTGTCTGCTGATAGTTTTGTTCAGTTTTTCCAATTCTTATTGCCTATTTTTAATGACCTGTGATTTTGTACATTTGATGTTAATTAATAGAGTTTGGGGTATAGAGTTTGGGGTTTTGTTGTTGTTGTTGCTGTTTTTAGAAAGGATGTGTTCAAATCCTGCAGGTCAGTAAGGCTTCCACTGTGTGCAGTGTGACCTCTGTGTCTATGTGTGTGAGTGTAGAAGGGGACTGCTCATAACTTTCCCATCAGCTCTCAGATCCCCTGGGCTTGGACTTTCTCCTGGGTGCATCTTGGTCTTCTCTCCATGTGCACAGAGTTTTTTCCATCAGCTAAGAGTGCGTGGAGAGCTCATGTCAACTCTTTCCTTAGAGTCTCACAGCCAGTATATTTCCATTATGTTTATGGGACACAGTACTTGACACAAACACCGTCTCCTCTGACCAGTGAAAGTTTGGGTTTTCTTCATCATTATTGAGCGCAAGCAGCACTTGGAGCTGAAGACACAAGGGGTACTCGCCCCCAGTTCCCCTGCTGATCAAGTCTCCCCTGTGGCACCAGCACCACTGCTCTTGGCAGCTTCTCCCAATTGTAACAGCTGCCATCTTCTTGGTCACTAAACAGGAGGGACGCATGGGAACATCCTAGGCGAGAAGATTACAAATGTACTTCTTAGTTGAATCTCCATGAAGTTTTCCAATGTAAATATTTCTTCAGTTATTAACCTTTGACCCATGATCTAAAGTCTGAAATTGTTTTCATTGTCTGTTCTCTTCACTTAGTCCTACTAAGATATTTTTATACTTAAGTGTCCAGTGTGTAACATTATATTTAGTTGAAGGTCTCTATAAGGTAAGAAAGAATTAACTTTCTTTGGTCCTACAAATTCAAATGAGTATGATCTCTTTTTTTGACTTCTAATAAAATTTATTTTCTCATAGTTTTTGTTGAAATTAATCTCTGAAAAGCCATGGATTAGAGTCTCCCAGAAAAGAGATAAAAGTTCACCGGTGCAGACACAAGACTTAACATGGTCTTCCAATGTGTAAGTTTCCTGACAACTTGTGATTTTGTGCCTCACAAGAATTAACCTTAGAAAGAAAAACAGCAATGTGAACAATCAGAAACAAAGAGTTGTTGAAGTTCTTCCATAGAAGAATGTTATGGGAAATATTCAGATTTAGATATATAACTATTGGTCAAATGAGTGGTTTAGTCAACAAAATAGTATGGTATCTATTGTTAAGATTAGTAACAC